TCTCAGAGGGATCACGGACTCACTGACACCTTGATTTTGAACTTCTATGAGATGATGAATTTCTTTTGTTTAAAGCCACCCATTGGTGGTACTTTGTTGTGGAAACCTCCTGAAGCTAAGACAGTGACTATGTTGTGTGCAAACTCAAGGGAAAAATCTAACTAAAGACCACAGGTTAGGAGAGCAGTGTCAGTGCCAGGAAAAACTTACCTGCAACATAGTCACCAAATCCTATGGTTGTTAAAGTGATAACCACAAAATAAATGGCGTCCAGAGCACTCCAACCTTCTATGTGCTTGAATATGATTGCAGGCAGAGCAACAAAGAGTACACAGCCAAACAGTATAAATATGATTGTTGAGATGATGCGAATCTTGGTCTGACTTACATTCCACTTCTGCAGATGAGAGAGAGAAACTGATTGAATAGGCTGATTACTGGCTTACCTGCAAAGCCAACCCAGATACGTTGTTATCAGCAAATTAGAAGCGAGAATGTTTGTTTTCATTCCCTTTTATAATTAATTTTCAATTGTCTTTACCTATAAAAATTGGGTGTAACATAGTAACTCAAAATAGTCAATGCTAATAATGGTGATACTTTGCCCTTACATAGCTGTGTATCAGGTAAAATACTTTTGAAGGTAAATTACATTTGACCTGAGAATATGATTAAGATTTACATCATTCTTTGTTTACTTGAACTACCTTTGAAATATTGCAGTTCTATAGACATACAACTGATTGTGGGCCAAACACAGTCTGGAAACATGAAAATGGAGAAAACTGAACCATGGATTAAATACAGCTGACCCTTGAACAACATGGGGGTTAGGGGCACTAACTCCCTGCATAGTCGAACATCCATGTACAACTCTTGACTCCCCAAAAACTTAAGTATAAAAATAACTATACAGTGTGTTATATAGTAATAGAGGTACATATTAATTATTCTGGACAACCCCAAAATTAAATGTCTAACTGTGCCTGAGGTGATATAAAAGTTATAGTATTTTTAAAAAATCAAGCAATTAACAATCTGTAGTTAAAAGGTCGTCAATACTTACAATAAATGTATCTTCCACTTTTGCAATTCCTTTTCCAAATATGGTCCCTAGTTGATCTCCAACTCCAGCCAACAAAAAACCAAAGAGGGGAATTCCCAGTAAGGCGTAGATGATACAGAATATTTTCCCCCCTTCTGTGCGTGGTGAGATGTTTCCAAATCCTAAATACAAAAGAAAAAAAATTTAGCTGTTTATAAATGAGTACTAGTTTAAAACATGAACTCAAGCTTGATTCAGAAATTCCCAGATATTGTAAGATATCATCTGAGACTCCAACTAGTTAAGAATCCCTTTGTATTACAGAAACGTTTAATATATTCTAATATAAGCTACTCTTATAAGCAAACATTTCAATAATGTTCCAAGTATGGTGAATGTTCCAATTAAACTAGATGATGAATATTGAGAAGGCAACATGCTTGTATTTTCATTAAATTTACTTCTATTTCTCATCCTGATAAACCTGTTCACTATAAAATTTTCATTGGCATTTATTGATAAGTGTATTGCCTTAATTTAAGAGAATTCAAATATGCTTATAAAGTATTTAAAGATTACAGTTTCATAGCAACTTTTAAAATTTTGTTTTCACTCAAATACCTACCAGAAAGGAATAAGTAAAACTTATTCTTTTTTAAAGTTCTGAGGATTTTGAAGGCTTTTCAGTTTTGTGTAAGGATGTCTACTTGTCATGATAAAAACTGTTTTAAAGTGTAGTTCATCTTTATTTTAAAATGTATTTCAAGTTTCTTTTTTTTTAAATAACAATGTCTATACACCTGTTTGAAGTGAAGAATGTATGCCCTCTAGATACTCTTAATATGTAATCCTCTCATTGTCCTTCATATTACATTAATCTCGAATTTATTTTTAATTTCCTCTTTTATTCAAGAATGTGGACAGATATTTGAGGACTGGCTTTTTGTTACTTTTCAGTTTTACAACTATTATGGTCAAAGAATGTGGTCTGTATGATTTTTACTTTTGGAATCTATTGATATTTTCTGGCTTTATAATGGCCAGTTTCTGTATTTGTTTCACTGTTGTCTGGAAATAATATGAATGTTCTACTTGTTGGCTACAGAAAAGGCATATATCATCAAAAGGCTTCATATCATTACCCCAAATCCATTCTTGTGGTTCCCTCAAAAAACCTTCCCTTGGGGAGCGGAGATGGGCTAATATTTTGTCATTTTAACCCATATTTATCCCCTCATATTATTTCTATCTTTCTCTTCCTTCTACTCAGCCAGTTTGGTGTTCATTGTTAGCCAATTCATCTCTAAAGGGTTCTTTATTTTTCTTTTTTTTAATGTATTTGATTTTCAAGAACTTTGCCTTTTTTCATTAGACTGTTCTTATGCCATAAAATAATAATTGTATTCTTTGTTTTTAAGCATTGTATCATGTATTAACTCAATTCCTTTAGAGAAGTTCTATGCTTCCTTTATGTGAATTTCTTCAAGTGTTTGAAAGTTCCTGGTGGTATTGTCATACTTGTAAGCACAGTACAATACTAGATTGTGGCTGAAATGTTATTCCCCAGCCTCGGGGAGAACTGTGGTTGATCTGGTGCTGTATGTAAGATTCTCTTGGAAGGAACCTCTGGTTGAGGCAGTGTTGGACAGAAGGAGGGGAATGGCATCTGAATGGGCTTTCATGCACGTGTGCGTCTCACGTGACTTCTGAGAGCAGGGTCTCCAAATTCCTCATGGCAGCTACCAGTTCACAGCTGCCTCACTGCCTCTCAGGCCCACTGCCTGCTTTGGGAATATCTGTACTATAACTCTGAAAAGCTTGTATTCACAGCTTCATTTTGGAGGCAAAGACTGGAGACAGCTACTGTGCAGTTAGGATTAGCGTTTGTAGGAAAAAGTAGATGCAGCAACAGAGACACAGAGAAGGCCATGTGATGACGGAAGCAGAGATGGGAGGGATGCAGTTGCATGACAGGGATTGGCAAGGACAGATGGCCTCCACCAGGAGCTAGAAAGAGGCAAGGAAGGCTTCTACCTAGAATCTCAGAGGGATCACGGACTCACTGACACCTTGATTTTGAACTTCTATGAGATGATGAATTTCTTTTGTTTAAAGCCACCCATTGGTGGTACTTTGTTGTGGAAACCTCCTGAAGCTAAGACAGTGACTATGTTGTGTGCAAACTCAAGGGAAAAATCTAACTAAAGACCACAGGTTAGGAGAGCAGTGTCAGTGCCAGGAAAAACTTACCTGCAACATAGTCACCAAATCCTATGGTTGTTAAAGTGATAACCACAAAATAAATGGCGTCCAGAGCACTCCAACCTTCTATGTGCTTGAATATGATTGCAGGCAGAGCAACAAAGAGTACACAGCCAAACAGTATAAATATGATTGTTGAGATGATGCGAATCTTGGTCTGACTTACATTCCACTTCTGCAGATGAGAGAGAGAAACTGATTGAATAGGCTGATTACTGGCTTACCTGCAAAGCCAACCCAGATACGTTGTTATCAGCAAATTAGAAGCGAGAATGTTTGTTTTCATTCCCTTTTATAATTAATTTTCAATTGTCTTTACCTATAAAAATTGGGTGTAACATAGTAACTCAAAATAGTCAATGCTAATAATGGTGATACTTTGCCCTTACATAGCTGTGTATCAGGTAAAATACTTTTGAAGGTAAATTACATTTGACCTGAGAATATGATTAAGATTTACATCATTCTTTGTTTACTTGAACTACCTTTGAAATATTGCAGTTCTATAGACATACAACTGATTGTGGGCCAAACACAGTCTGGAAACATGAAAATGGAGAAAACTGAACCATGGATTAAATACAGCTGACCCTTGAACAACATGGGGGTTAGGGGCACTAACTCCCTGCATAGTCGAACATCCATGTACAACTCTTGACTCCCCAAAAACTTAAGTATAAAAATAACTATACAGTGTATTATATAGTAATAGAGGTACATATTAATTATTCTGGACAACCCCAAAATTAAATGTCTAACTGTGCCTGAGGTGATATAAAAGTTATAGTATTTTAAAAAAATCAAGCAATTAACAATCTGTAGTTAAAAGGTCGTCAATACTTACAATAAATGTATCTTCCACTTTTGCAATTCCTTTTCCAAATATGGTCCCTAGTTGATCTCCAACTCCAGCCAACAAAAAACCAAAGAGGGGAATTCCCAGTAAGGCGTAGATGATACAGAATATTTTCCCCCCTTCTGTGCGTGGTGAGATGTTTCCAAATCCTAAATACAAAAGAAAAAAAATTTAGCTGTTTATAAATGAGTACTAGTTTAAAACATGAACTCAAGCTTGATTCAGAAATTCCCAGATATTGTAAGATATCATCTGAGACTCCAACTAGTTAAGAATCCCTTTGTATTACAGAAACGTTTAATATATTCTAATATAAGCTACTCTTATAAGCAAACATTTCAATAATGTTCCAAGTATGGTGAATGTTCCAATTAAACTAGATGATGAATATTGAGAAGGCAACATGCTTGTATTTTCATTAAATTTACTTCTATTTCTCATCCTGATAAACCTGTTCACTATAAAATTTTCATTGGCATTTATTGATAAGTGTATTGCCTTAATTTAAGAGAATTCAAATATGCTTATAAAGTATTTAAAGATTACAGTTTCATAGCAACTTTTAAAATTTTGTTTTCACTCAAATACCTACCAGAAAGGAATAAGTAAAACTTATTCTTTTTTAAAGTTCTGAGGATTTTGAAGGCTTTTCAGTTTTGTGTAAGGATGTCTACTTGTCATGATAAAAACTGTTTTAAAGTGTAGTTCATCTTTATTTTAAAATGTATTTCAAGTTTCTTTTTTTTTAAATAACAATGTCTATACACCTGTTTGAAGTGAAGAATGTATGCCCTCTAGATACTCTTAATATGTAATCCTCTCATTGTCCTTCATATTACATTAATCTCGAATTTATTTTTAATTTCCTCTTTTATTCAAGAATGTGGACAGATATTTGAGGACTGGCTTTTTGTTACTTTTCAGTTTTACAACTATTATGGTCAAAGAATGTGGTCTGTATGATTTTTACTTTTGGAATCTATTGATATTTTCTGGCTTTATAATGGCCAATTTTTGTATTTGTTTCACTGTTGTCTGGAAATAATATGAATGTTCTACTTGTTGGCTACAGAAAAGGCATATATCATCAAAAGGCTTCATATCATTACCCCAAATCCATTCTTGTGGTTCCCTCAAAAAACCTTCCCTTGGGGAGCGGAGATGGGCTAATATTTTGTCATTTTAACCCATATTTATCCCCTCATATTATTTCTATCTTTCTCTTCCTTCTACTCAGCCAGTTTGGTGTTCATTGTTAGCCAATTCATCTCTAAAGGGTTCTTTATTTTTCTTTTTTTTAAGGTATTTGATTTTCAAGAACTTTGCCTGTTTTCATTAGACTGTTCTTATGCCATAAAATAATAATTGTATTCTTTGTTTTTAAGCATTGTATCATGTATTAACTCAATTCCTTTAGAGAAGTTCTATGCTTCCTTTATGTGAATTTCTTCAAGTGTTTGAAAGTTCCTGGTGGTATTGTCATACTTGTAAGCACAGTACAATACTAGATTGTGGCTGAAATGTTATTCCCCAGCCTCGGGGAGAACTGTGGTTGATCTGGTGCTGTATGTAAGATTCTCTTGGAAGGAACCTCTGGTTGAGGCAGTGTTGGACAGAAGGAGGGGAATGGCATCTGAATGGGCTTTCATGCACGTGTGCGTCTCACGTGACTTCTGAGAGCAGGGTCTCCAAATTCCTCATGGCAGCTACCAGTTCACAGCTGCCTCACTGCCTCTCAGGCTCACTGCCTGCTTTGGGAATATCTGTACTATAACTCTGAAAAGCTTGTATTCACAGCTTCATTTTGGAGGCAAAGACTGGAGACAGCTACTGTGCAGTTAGGATTAGCGTTTGTATAGCACTTGGATAAGTTTACAGCCTACTGCCCATTGGCTCACTCCTGTGTCTAATTTTGGCACCTTTATGAAGTTCCCTTAGAAAAATTTTCCTTTTGGAATCCTCTGTCTTGCTTCTGTGGGAGACATGGGCTCCTTAATTCAAGAAGATGTCATTTTCAATCTGAATGTTTATCCCTCAAATCCATCACTGTGTGGCTCCCTTGTAACACCTTCCCTGTCTTTAAGCACACTATGGGTTTTTTTCACATTATTTTTATGTTTTCTGTCATCTTAATGCATCTGTTTGATTTTATGAGGTAAATGCATGTTTCTAGCTAACAGCTTGTAAGAGAAATCCATGTTTGTACCAGACAGGGAATTACATGTATGAATTTACCAATGTCTTTTAATATGTTAATTACTGATCATCTAATAAAAAGTCCATAGATTTATAGTAAGATATGCAAACATCATGATTTTAAAAGCATTTTAAAGTCTAAAATTAACTGATTGAAAGAGATACCAGAATAAAAAATCTGCAAAAATTTGGCAATATCATTATAGCTATTCCAGGATCCATCGCTCACTAGGTATATTACCTTGGCAAATCATTTTCTCATCTGGTAAAAGACTATATTGTTACTATCATCTACTTTATCAAGTTGTAAGAACTAAGTAAGGTATTACATGAAGAGGCTCAGGAAATTCTATTACACTGTATGCTCAATATAAATTAGGTGCTATAATAATAGTTATTATAATTACTATTAGCAATATTATTGGTAGGAACAAAGATTAGTAAATCAGTGCATTTAGCCCCATCAGTCTACACACTAATAGCCAGATTAATGGGGTCATTATTATACAATGCTCTCCGCTAATGTTCTGTCAGATAATGGGTGCCATCCTTTAGAAGGATCATTGGCCAAATAGCATGGATGAGGAAGACAACTTTTCACATATAATGGTAGCTGATTTCAACAATCTGAATGAATAAAACACAGAAAAGGCAACAAACCTACTCTGATGCCCAAGGCAAAGAACAAAAGTAATGGATGCAAGCGACAGGAAGTGATCTCATGCTAGGGTAACTGCAGCCCAAGTACAGTGAATGGCTGTAAGAAGCAGGCAGAACCCAGATCCTCACAAGCAGCCTTTGACATTTTGGACTGACACAGGACTAATATCTGATCTGCAATCTACTTTCAAATGTTGCCAATTGTTCTATTAATGTCTGTGGGTAAAATTTCAGTATTTCCAGACTCTCTCGCCTGGCCTTAGTGTATCTCCATATTAATAGGTGTTTCCAAGGGGTGGAGACAAGTCGTCCATCTCCATATCAATAGGTGATTACAAAGTGGGTGGAGAGCTAGTGGGCACCCAGACCAGAGAGGTATTTTGGGGGGTCCTTCTTGCAGGCAGGTCATGAGACACACAGGCGAGCAGAAGTAGAAGACTGCTTGTATGCAGTAAATGGTTTCTCCCACTTTATTTCTCCCTTTGACTGATTTTGGCTTCAAAGGTTATGTGCCCCAGGCTGGGAACATATTTTCCCTTTCTGAGTTACAATGTCCTTTGTTTTCCTATTCTACAATACAATTCAAGATTGTGCATTACATTCCATTGGAATCTCTTTAGTCTCCTTTAATCTTGTGGAATACTTCCTAAACTTTGCTTTGTCTTTCATGACTTTGATGCTTTTTAAACAAGACAAGCCAGTTATTTTAGTTCATCTGGTACTTCCTCACAAAGAGGTTCAGGCTATCCAGTTTTTGCAGGAATACCACTTAATGATATTCGGTCCTTCTCAATGCATTTCAACCCAAAGCACATGATGTCAGTTGGTTCTATAATAGTGATCTTGATTTTGAGTTCAATTAGGTCCACTAGATTTCTCCACTGAAAGTTACTATTTTGTCCTTTGCAATCAATACCTCATTTATGGAGAAACACTTTGAGAGTATGTAAATATTCTGTTCAAACTTTTACCTACTAGTTACAGTATCTGGAACAAGTGCTAGAAAAGAAAATGAAGACAGATGAAACAATAAGCTAGTAAATAAGATAATAGTCATTTAAAAACATCTCAAATGTGTGTTGTATATATACTAAGGATATCCTTTTAAAATATAAATGTGCTTTTACATTCTATGTAGAAGAAAAAAAAGCCTAGAACTTTCCCCAGTGGATCCCAGTGAAGTGAGGGAGGTTCTTGTCCACCACCATCTTGTTCTGACATGGCTTCAGAAACTTCCAAGGGTGGAAAAGGACTCAGAAGTACATATATGCTCTGCTCTGAGGATGACAAGGGGCTGAAAGCCCTGGGGAGACAAGGAAGAAACCTTGAGGCAAGAATGAAAAGCCTGCCACACTGGACTCCCAGACCTAGGGAAAACTGGCAGGACTGTGGGCTCTGGTGTAAGGCACCTGCACATTTAACTCCCTGACCTTCCACCTGCTCTTACCACTGATGCTTCGGAAAACCAAACACCAGAGCAGTATGTGCAAAGGACCCATCCAGGGCAAGTGTGAGAAAGGCCCAGAAATATGTATCGAGGTAATCTGAAGAAGAAAGAGGCCACCCCAAAGAGGAAAAAGAATGTTTAAACAGAACTATTTTGGGTAGTGCACCATTTCTGTATGTTAATCCAAGAATGGAATTCAGCGACCTCAGCCCTATCCTCTATTCTAACATCAGTAAGCATAGTACCGAGAACAAGAAGGCCTTGGGAAGTCAGCAGGGTGGACAGTTTTGACACGGATTCTCTGGTTATTCAGGGGAGTCCTGTTGAGATCCAACACTGGTCTTTATTGCCCCTTCAGATGAATGACTATGTGGTCTGAGGAAAGACAGGCATCTGCGTTACCATATTCCATCCCGTTTTCCCTTTTTGCATCAGAGAACAAATGTCTTCAGAGTTACATCCATCAGAAGTAACCTACCCCCAGGAGGGATCAGGTATAGAAAATAAAAGAACAACTTAAAAAAAAATTCTGACTGGGGCATCGCTAGAAATGGGCCCTATAAATTTAAACAGAAATTTTTTTGCTTAAACAATAAAAACCTCACTGTCAGAGGGCTCAATTTGATCTGCCCCATGCAAGTTAAAAGAGCATAAGAATCAAGGCTCCACATTTTCACCTAACACTGATTCATGTTCAGCCTGGCAGCCGTAACACAGCTTCAAAAAACTTGACTGGATTTCCGCTGGAAGCCTATTTACATGATCAATAAAACGGCCCCAAATCCAAAGAGAATTCTAGATGTCACCAATCTACACTTCACTGATCAAAAAATAAAAAAGGAGAGC